AAAAAATATGCCCCTATTTTTTATTTTGAAATAAAAAAAATTAGGGAGTGCTCAAAGCGCTCAAAGTTTTTCATGTCTTTATATGGGGAAAAACAACTTTTCATAGAAATAGTGTAGAATTCTTGAAAATCAATATTTTTCGATCGAAAAACACTGCTTATCTTCAGGAGATTCCCAGTAATAATAGGCAATTGCATACAAAATGGTTAAATAAACAATTGTATATTGATACTGGAAGTCTCCTTAAGAGAACCACAGTTTTCCGATCGAAAAATATTGATTTTCAAGAGTTTTATACCATTTCTGCGAAAAATTGTTTTTTCTTCATGTAAAATACATGGAAAACTTTGAGCAGTTTGAGTACTGCCTAAATATGTTTTGATTTCAAAATAAAAGATAGGGGTAAATTTTTTTCGACGTAGAACAATCCTAGGGGGTGCCGGCAATCAAATTCCGACTTTATTTTTTTGGACCACTCTAATGTACATACATATATCATTACCTTAATTCACAAAGGCCCGAACCAACAATTTTTTTTAATTTACAGGAGATGCAAAAACAACATAAAAGAGCTTTTTAAAAAGTGGCATTTAACTCCATTGTTTTTGGGACTAACACTTTAAAATTTTTATTGAAGGTATATTTTAATATATACTGCCAAAATCTGTGAAAAACGCAGTTTCGAAAAAAAAGTTTTGGTTAGCGCCTTTGTGAATTAAGGTAACGATATGTATTATTACCTTTGTCGAATTCTATTTTTCATTTCCAAACTAGTTGGAAATTTAATGTATTTCATCATTATCTTATTTTGAATGATAAGAGTCACTTCATTAATAGATCTGCAAATCGTAGTTTTACTTAGTGGACACACAAAATCTTGCCCGATATCTCTTAAAAAGGATCCAGTAGCATAATAATGCAATGCCGATACCATCCTTATAGCCTTTGGTACAAAAGTTATTCGTATACCATCCTTCATATACGGACTTATTTCACCAAGAAGTTCCAGCGCAGACTCCTTATTCAATCTAAATAACTCAATGAAACGCGCTTCTGGCAAATAAAATGGATCAGTATTATCCCTTAAAAAGCGCCTATGAATGCGCAACATGTTCCTTTGATCATCAGCCAATGCAAGTAGATGTGCAACCATCATTCTATATTTTAAATGATTTAAATAATCAAAATATATAAAAATTATTACTTTTACTTCAATTTCTCACAACTATACAAGAACATATGTTCTTCATTCTGACATTTCGTGTAATTTTTACAATACTCACCACCAATTTATCGCAAGGTGAGTTTTTTTAGTTACAGAAACACTTCGTTTATCGTTTGCGATATGAACTTTGCGATACCGCGTTCTGACAGAATTTGCGATATAATATCGCATTAGTTACAGAAACGCACTACTGGTGTATGCATATGCACAACGACATTGATTTATGTGCATAAGTTGCCCTCCACATGAATACGATGCCCTCATCATACTCATACCATCCCCAACAAGTTTGATCGTCAGCTCAACGGAGTTTGATCTACAATATTCATTGCTTGAGTACAATCATGTGAATCATTAGGAAATTGCCATGCAGATGGTAGTTTTTTTACCAGCGCATGTTAAACTTACGTTTGCTTATACATGCATGTGTATGTATGTATGTACCACAATATAACCAGTAAACAACCTTGGGTGAATTTGGCGACTGTCTTCCTCGGGGATGAATATGCCAGGGATGAAATTATTGGTAAACACGCTTTCTAAGCACGCAGGGTTGCTTTTGAGAAACAAGAAATAATTATGTAACTCCAAGCAAAGTATAGTATAAAACGAAATCTATTGAATAAGTCCACATAAAATGGTATACATAAATGACTAATTTTTTAACCGATTTAAATAAAACGCATTTCATAACCTTATTTGTGAAAAAGGCCTGTGCCAATTGATAGAAAAGTACGGATTGCAAATTTTTGACCACTATGAGTGAAAATTTGGAAAGATCAAACAAAAATTTTGAGATTTCTCGTTGTGAATACGAACGCCATGATTTTTACCTAGCTCGTGGGACTACGCTAAATTTTGACAGCTTGTAAATATGTATACACCCAAAGTTGGCGGTAATAAAGAGTCAAAATCAAAATGGAGTCTAGAAAAAAAAGCATATGTTAGTTGTCAGTTATAAAATAAATCAAATTTATTTGCGAATATTTGTTAATTCTATTTATTGAAAGTCAACCACGCGGAAAAGCTTGTGCTAATTATATTGATAACGGAACCTGGCAGCTCGCACGTTGCCTAAATTCTCAAGTAACATCAAATCCATAAATGAATACATTGCTTGTATTACCATCAATATCGCCATGTATAAACTTTAACAACATACAAAAATATAGCTTTCGCACGAGCGTTTGTTTGGTTTTTATAATTATTATAATTTTCTTTTAATAAAATCACGATTTGTCAAATACTTTAATTTATTTATCTAGTAATAATGCAGCACACAACCCTGAAATCTAAGAAGTCTGAGGAAGGCCATTAGATAGCAGCAAACAACCCAGTGCCTTCCTCAAGGGTGACATCATACAAAAAGAAGGTAGTTTCATTTCAAAATTTTTGACAAAAAATAAGTTTTTGAAGTTTCATAAATTGTACAAAATTATGAGCTACCTTGCCACATTGATATCAATGAAACAATACATCAGAGGGTTTAATGTTGTGCGTTGGAAATGTTCGGTTATTTGTAAAATGATTTTTTGGTGGGGAGCGGAAACGGAAGGTGCGTGTCACCAAAAACTTACTAGAAAGAGAACAGTATAAACTTTAAGATAATTCACCCTTCGCCTCCCTGCCCCTTCTACAGACACTCGGGGCCCATTTCAAAATGGGGTAAAATTAGCATTTTCGCAAAGAAAAATTAAACTCGTGTTAGGCCATCAGCAGTGGGTACTCTTTTCCATTTTGGTAGCCTTCGGCCGCGCTAGTGAAAATAACCTCATCAGTCAACTCTGGTTACGCCATCCACAGTATATTTGGGAAAAATTGACCTCCAAATTTACAAAAAAGAAGTGCATATTTTAAACCGAAACCTTTGTTTTAACTTAAAGCTTAGTCCATCTATCTTTTTTGTCCGATCAGTTCAAATTTATTTTATTTTATGTTTGTAGGCTAGTCTGTTATATATGTATGTATACATTTTTGTTTTTTTCGTTAATGTGTGTGTTTTTTGTATTTTTGTATATTTGTTGTAACAGATAAAATAAACACTACCCCTGAGGATGCTAAAAAAGGTTTAGCGAAACGTCGGGTGAAAAGTGGAATAAAGTAGTTTTATTCGCACCAGAACGGAAAATATCAGACTAGCCTACAAACATAAAATAATATAAAAAAAAAATTAAAGCTTAGTCCTTTGGCTAGACGTATATGTTAAAATTTTTTGATTCGGGTCTCGGGTTTGAACACGATAACCCAAAATCATTGTACAAATTAGGGATGTTGCGAATGTGGAATTTTAGACATCCGCGGATGCGAATGCGTATGCGAATATCTAAAAGCTAACAACCGCGAATGCGGATGTCAAGTATTTTTAAGAAACAATTAGAATCTAGCATAATGGCGAGATCGTTGTTTAAACAGCGCTTACAAAGCCAAACCAGATGTGTCAGGTTTTTCTAAAGCTTTTTAAAAATAGTTCTCCATTGTCATTCCTTTGGCTGTTTCAGAATTTGGGGAATCTGTAACTTCATCAGCGTTTTTCGATTTTAGTTTTTGTAGTTCATTTTTAATACTTTCTTCTGCGACTGGTTTGAACAATCCGTGCCTATAGCGAGCTAAATAGGTGGATATGGAAAATAAATTATTGTTTTCCTGCAATGAAAATTTTGAACAAAATTCTGTTTTCAAAGTCGTGGCTGTCAGCGGAATCGGATAAGAACACTGTTATTTTTTAAAAAAGCACCCCGTTTTTTAAAAACATTTGAATCTCAGATACTTACGTAATTCTTATCTTATTAAAGGTCAGACCTATAGTCTTTTAATTATTTGAGCATCGCTCCTCTTTATAGCCAGACGTTGATCATTTCTGCTGGAAATCCCTATTGAAGGAGCTTACTCTTTGACTTTAAATAGCAAAGATGGGACAGTATATATCCATCCGAAAAAATATTGCCCGACAAGTAAACAAAATTACTGTTCTTTAATTTTTTGCTAAAAATAAATTCCCCAAAGAGCCCCATTTGAAATTATTGAAACGAATATAAGTAACATCAAAAGCAAATCACGAAAATTTGGTTAACAATTACAGTGCACAGCTACTTTTTTTGTGTCTAGCAGTTTTTTTAAAATTGGTCCAAAAAAATAATATTAAAGAAAGAAACCAATGCAGGTATTGAAAGAAGAGAAAACAAAAAATATTGTTAAAAAGGCTAGGTTCCCTTTTACGTACGTCAAAGGTCAAGTAGAAGTTGGAACTTGCATGACTGCCCATTGATTGCTCAGTTATATAGCTGAAGAAATAATAAGTTTAAATACATTTTTGTCTAAGTTGATAAATATGAACAGTTTTGTTACACAAATACTCCCACGACCACAGGCAAAAATATTGGCTACAATTTGTCATTTTGTTTGCCATATATACGTTTTATCGGTGCACTTGCACAACATTCGTATTCGCAAAAGCTCCGCATTGATTATTGCGAATGCGAAAGCGAATGCGAAAGCGAATGCGAATGTTAAAAATAATGCGGAAGCTCCGCAGTTGCGAATGCGAATGCGAATATTCGCAACAACCCTGGTACAAATATCCAAACCGTAACCAAACTGTCTTACTTATGCCATTTTCTAAAAACAAAAACTTTCTAAAATGAAACTGCAGTAGTTTTCATCTTATGTGGATAATTCTTGTCACAAATACCTCGTTCCTTGCTTATATTTATGCATATATATTTTTGAACAGCGCCACTCCTTAACAGAAAATTCCGAGAATCCAAAATTGGTACTGTTACAAGTTGCATGGCATCATTTTAACTCGATCTCCACCCTCTACCACGGATAACGGTACATCGGTTAGAGGTTAAAAAATATTTTGTGTCAGCAATTTGTCATCAAACTGCATTAAATCGTATTACGTACTCTATCCTCTATCCAAAAAACTTTATTTTCGAACGTTTGCACAGGTGTATCAAATTCCTTCAGTTTGAAAACGCGCAAGACTTTTTAATGTTTTCATCCAACTTCACTAACTTAAAATTTTTTTTTACTTTTTCAAGAAACAAAAATTTTTCTGCTAGTGAATCTGGTAGCATGGTTTTAATGAAATGTCATAAACTTATTAAAAGTCAAGTGGTCGGCAACAACAACGAATGTCAATAAATGAAACTACCTTCTATTTTTGTATCATGAAGGGTGAATATAGCAACAACAACAACGATCACTACAACAACAACCCAAAAAGGTTGGCTACTGTCTATACCAGAGGTTCCCAAACTTTTTTTCTCGTAGACCCCTTTCAAAAATTTACTGGTCTCGGTGGACCCCCTGCTGATACATTTCTAAATATTCCCAAAGCCCGTCAAAAAAATTTAATGTGTGAATTTTAGATCTAACAATGTAAATTTGCATCGTGGGTGAATTCAAAAACTCAGATCAGAGTGGCCAAAATAAAAGTAAAATATTTTCTTGTGTTCTGTTTATAAAAATTATGTGATTACACACTCTCATTCGGAAGAGTTATATTTTTTACGAGCACTGCGATCGCTAGCGTTATTTACATTATCTTAACCATAAACTCATCAAATGTTAGCCTCTCTAGTTTATTTGTGTTAATGCCATCATTTTTATTTTATCGCTCCGAGTTTTAAAGTGAGGCGAAAAATATTTGTCACATTTTTAAAACACAAAACTTAAAACATCTAAACAGCTAAGCTTTTTACGCCAAACTTTTAATTCAGAAACTGACAATAGATGTAATAACCAGTTAAAAAAGTCAATGCCAAATAAACAAGCAAGCAAGAAGCACAAAAAGTGTACCACCGTCTCATCTTCTTCAAGGCAAGATGGGCAAAT